GCTCTAACCTGTTTGTGTTGTTTGTGTTGCTCTGACCTGATTGTGTTGTTTGTGTTGCTCTGACCTGTTTGTGTTGCTCTGACCTGTTTGTGTTGCTCTGACCTGTTTGTGTTGTTTGTGTTGCTCTGACCTGATTGTGTTGTTTGTGTTGCTCTGACCTGATTGTGTTGTTTGTGTTGCTCTGACCTGTTTGTGTTGTTTGTGTTGCTCTAACCTGTTTGTGTTGTTTGTGTTGCTCTGACCTGATTGTGTTGTTTGTGTTGCTCTGACCTGATTGTGTTGTTTGTGTTGCTCTGACCTGTTTGTGTTGTTTGTGTTGCTCTAACCTGACTGTGTTGTTTGTGTTGCTCTAACCTGTTTGTGTTGTTTGTGTTGCTCTGACCTGATTGTGCTGTTTGTGCTGCTCTAACCTGGCTGTGTTGTTTGTGTTGCTCTAACCTGTTTGTGTTGTTTGTGTTGCTCTAACCTGTTTGTGTTGTGTTGCTCTAACCTGGCTGTGTTGTTTGTGTTGCTCTGACCTGATTGTGTTGTTTGTGTTGCTCTAACCTGTTTGTGTTGCTCTAACCTGGCTGTGTTGTTTGTGTTGCTCTAACCTGATTGTGTTGTTTGTGTTGCTCTAACCTGTTTGTGTTGTTTGTGTTGCTCTAACCTGTTTGTGTTGTTTGTGTTGCTCTGACCTGATTGTGTTGTTTGTGTTGCTCTGACCTGATTGTGTTGTTTGTGTTGCTCTAACCTGTTTGTGTTGTTTGTGTTGCTCTGACCTGTTTGTGTTGTTTGTGTTGCTCTGACCTGTTTGTGTTGTGTTGCTCTAACCTGACTGTGTTGTTTGTGTTGCTCTGACCTGTTTGTGTTGTTTGTGTTGCTCTAACCTGACTGTGTTGTGTTGCTCTGACCTGTTTGTGTTGTGTTGCTCTAACCTGACTGTGTTGTTTGTGTTGCTCTAACCTGTTTGTGTTGTGTTGCTCTAACCTGTTTGTGTTGTTTGTGTTGCTCTGACCTGTTTGTGTTGTTTGTGTTGCTCTAACCTGACTGTGTTGTGTTGCTCTAACCTGACTGTGTTGTGTT